ATTCAAGGAAATACACCACAAAGATATTCCTCAAGAAGAGCAACCCAAGGTACATAATCATCTGTTTCACCAGGGTTGAAATGAAGGAAAAAATGCTAAGGGCAGCAAGAGAGAATGGTTGGGTTACCCACAGAGGGAAGCTCATCATACTCACAGCAGATCTCTCAGCAGAAACTCTATAAGCCGGAAGGGAGTGGGGGCCAATATGCAACATGCTTAAAGAAAAGAATTTTCAACCTAGAATTACATATCCAGCCAAACTAAGCTGTGCAAGTGAATGAGAAAGAAAATCCTTTATGAACAAGCAATTGCTGAGTGATTTTGTCAACATCAGGCCAGTCTCACAAGAGCTCCTGAAAGAAGCACTAAACAAGGAAAGGAACAAGTACCAGCCACTCCAAAAATGTTCCAAATAGTAAAGCCCATTGACACAATGAAGAAAATGTGTCAACTAACAGGCAAAACAACCAGCTAGCCTCAAAATGGCAGGATCAAATTCACACATAAATATATTAACCCTAAATGTAAATAGACTAAATGCCCCAATCAAAAGACACAGACTGGCAAATTGGATAAATAGTCAAAACCCGTTGGTGTGTGCTGTATTCAGGAAATCATCTCAACATGCAAGGACACACATAGGCTAACAGTAAAGGGATGGAGGAAGATTTATCAAGCAAATGGAGAGCAAAAAAAAAAAAAAAAGCAGAAGTTGCAATCCCAGTCTCTGTTAAAATGGACTTTAAACCAACAAAGATCAAAAGATACAAAGAAGGACATTATGTAATGGTAAAAGGATCAATGCAGGAAGAAGAGCTAATGATCCTAAATATATGAGCACCCAATTCAGGAGCACCCAGGTTCATAAAGCAAGTTCTTAATGACCTATAAAGAGACTTAGACTCCCACACAATAATAGTGGGAGACTTTAACACTCCACTGTCAATATTAGATCAACCAGACAGAAAATTAACAAGGATATCCAGGATGTGAACTCAGATCTGGAACAAGTGGACCTAATAGACATCTACAGAAATCTCCACCCCAAATCCACAGAATATATATTCCTCTCAGCACTGCATGGCACCTACTCTAAAATTGACCACATAATTGGAAGTAAATCACTCCTCAGCAAATGCAAAAGGACGAAATCATAACAAACAGTCTCTCAGACCACAGTGCAATCGAATTAGAACTCAGAATTAAGAAACTAACTCAGAACCACACAACTTCATGAAAACTGAATAACTGGCTCCTGAATGTCAACTGGATAAACAATGAAATGAAGGCAGAAATAAAGATGTTCTTCAAAACCAATGAGAATGAAGACACACATACCAGAATCTCTGGGACACATTTAAAGCAGGGTCTAGAGGGAAATTTATAGCAATAAATGCCCACCAGAGAAGTGAGGAAAGAGCTAAAATCAACATGCCATCATCAAAATTGAAAGAGCTAGAGGATCAAGATAAAAAAAACTCAAAAGCTAGCAGAAGACAAGAAATAACTAAGATCAAAGTAGAACTGAAGGAGATAGAGACACAATCCTTCAAAAAATCAATAAATCCAAGAGCTGGTTTTTTGAAAAGATCAATCAAATAGACCACTAGATGGAATAATAAAACAGAAAAGGGAGAAGAATCAAAGAGATGCAATAAAAAACGATAAAGGGGAAATCACCACAGATTCCACAGAAATACAAATTATAATCAGATACTACTACAAAGAGCTCTATGCACATAAACCAGTAAACCTGGAAGAAACTGATAAATTCCTGGACACTTGCACCCTCCCAAGCCTAAACCAGGAAGAATTTGAAACTTGAACAGACCAGTAACAAGAACTGAAGTTGAGGCAGCAATTAATAGCCTACCAACCAAAGAAAGTCCAGGACCAGATGGGTTCACAGCTGACATACAAGGAGAAACTGGTACCATTCCTTGTGAAACTATTCCAAACAACACATAAAAAAAGGAAACCTTCCCAAATCATTTTATGAGACCAACATCACACTGATACAAAAACCCAGCAGAGACTCAACAAAAAAAGAAAACTTTAGGCCAATATCCATGATGAACATAGGTGCAAAAATCTTCAAAAAAATACTGGAAAACTGATTGCAATAGCATATCAAAAAGCTTATCAATCATGATCAAGTAGGCTTCATTCCGGGGATGCAAGACTGGTTCAACATATGCAAGTCTATAAACATAATCCACCACATAAACAAAACCAAAGACAAAAACTACATGATTATCTCAATAGATGCAGAGAAGGCCTTTGACAAAATTCAATAGCGCTTTATGCTAAAAACTCTCTATAAACTAGGTATTGAAGGAACATATCTCAAAATAATAAAAGCTCTTTGTGCAAAAACGAAGCATTCCCTTTGAAATCTGGCACTAGACAAGGATGTCCTCTGTCAACACTCCTATTCTATATAGTATTGGAAGTTCTAGCCAGAGCAATTAGGCAAGGAAAAAAAAGGCATTCAATTAGGAAAAGAGGAAGTCAAATTTTCTCTAATTGCAAATGACATGATTGAATATTTAGAAGACCCTATCATCTCAGCCCAAAATCTACTTAAACTGATAAGCAACTTCAGCAAAGTCTCAGGATACAAAATCAATGTGCAGAAATCACAAATATTTCTATATACCTATAACAGACCAACAGAGAGCCAAATCATGAACAAACTCCCATTCACAATTGCTACAAAAAGAATAAAATACCTAGGAATACAACTAACAAAGGATGTAAAGGACCTCTTCAAGAAGAACTACAAACCACCACTCAAGGAAATAAGAGAGGACACAAAGAAATGGAGAAATATTCCATGCTTATAGTTAGGAAGAATCAATATTCTGAAAATGGCCATACTGCCCAAGGTAATCTATAGATTTAATGCTAGCCCCATCAAGCTACCAATGATCTTCTTCACAGAACTGGAAAAAAACCACCTTAAACTTTATATGGAACCAAACGAGAGCCTGAACAGCCAAGACAATCCTAAGCAAAAAGAATAAAGCCGGAGGTGTCATGCTACCTGATTTCAAACTATACAACAAAGCTACAGTAATCAAAACAGCAAAGTACTGGTACCAAAATAGAAACACTGAGCAATGCAACAGAACAGAGCCTTTCGAGGCAATGCCACACATCTACAACCATCTGATCTTTGACAAACCTGACAAAAACAAGCAGTGGGGAAAGGATTTCCTGTTTAATAAATGCTGTTGGGAAAACTGGGTAGTAGTGGGCAGAAAGCGGAAACTGGACCCATTCCTAACAGCTTACACTAAAATTAACTCCAGATGGATTAAAGACTTAAACATAAGACCTAACACCATAAAAACCCTAGAAGAAACCCTAGGCAAAACCATTCAGGACATAGGCATAGGCAAGGACTTCATGACTAAAACACCAAACGCAATGGAAAAAAAAGCCAAAACAGACAACTGGGACCTAATCAAACTCCAGAGCTTCTGTACAGCAAAAGAAACCATCATTAGAGTGAACCGGCAACCAACAGAATGGAAAAAAATTTTTTGCAATCTATCCATCTGAAAAAGGGCTAATATCCAGAATCTACAAAGAACTAAAACAGATGTACAAGAAAAAACAAATTCATGCAAAAGTGGGAGAAGGACATGAGCAGACACTTTTCAAAAGAAGACATATATGAGGCCAATAAACATAGGAAAAAATGCTCATCACTGATTATTAGAGAAATGCAAATCAAAACCACATTGAGATACCACCTCACACAAGAACAGAAAATGAAACACCGTATATTCTCACTCATAGGCGGGTGATGAAAAATGAGAACACATGGACACAGAAAGGGGAGTACTAAACACTGGGGTCTATTGGGGGGAAAAGGGGAGGGCCAGTGGGAGGGGGAGGTGGGGAGGGATAGCCTGGGGAGAAATGCCAAATGTGGGTGAAGGGGAGAAGGAAAGAAAAGCACACTGCCATGTGTGTTCCTACACAACTGTCTTGCATGCTCTGCTCATGTACCCCAAAACCTAAAATCCAATAAAAAATTAAAAAAAAAAAAAGAATAGTAATCATTAAAAAAATCTGAAAACAACAGATGCTGGAGTGGATGTAGAGAAATAGGAACACTTTTACACTGCTGGTGGGAGTGTAAATTAGTTCAACCATTGTGGAAGACAGTGTGGCACTTCCTCAAGGACCTAGAAATAGAAATTTCATTTGACCCAGCAATCCCATTACTGGGTATACACCCAAACTATTATAAATCATTCTATTATAAGGACACATACATATGTATGTTCACAGTGGTACTGTTTACAATAGCAAAGACCTGGAACCAACCCAAATGCACACTGACGATAGACTGGACAAGGAAAATGTGGCACATATACACCAAGGAATACTATGCAGCCATAAGAAACAATTAGTTTGTGTCCTTTGTAGGGACATGGATGATTCTGGAAACTGTCATTCTCAGCAAACTGACACAAGAACAGAAAATCAAACACCACATGTTCTCACTCATAGGTGGGTGTTAAACAATGAGAACACATGGACACAGGGAGGGGAGCATCACACACTGGGGTCTACTGCAGGGGCAAGGAAGGGACAGTGGAGGGTTAGTATGGGGAAGTTGGGGAGGGATAACATGGGGAGAAATGCCAGATGTAGGTGACAGGGCGGCTGGAGGCAGCAAACCACATTGCCATGGGTGTACCTATGCAACAATCCTGCATGATCTGCACATGTACCCCAGAACCTAAAGTCCAATTAAAACAACAAACAAACAAAACGCATTATGTTTCAAAATTCCTAAAGGAGTAGATTTAAATGTTTCACCACAAAAAAAATGTTAAGTATATGAGATGATGGTTAGCCTGATTTCATCATTCCTTACTGTAAACATATCAAAACATCAAATTGTATCCTATAAATATATACAATTATTTGTCAAATAAAAATAAAATTTTTTTAAAATCTGCAAAAAAAATCCGTCTTACTTGATTGTGCTCTAGAGTTTCAAAAAGTTGTTCGTCAGACTTTAGTAATGGAACGCCTGTTCGATAGTGAACTTCATAAGAAAACTCCATGGTTTCCCAGGTCTGACTGATTTCAGTAATAACCTAGTAATCAACAGTACAAATTAATTTTTGTTCACAGAAGTTTCATTGAGAATTAATATCTCAGCTCTTATCTGGAATTAATTTTAATTTTCAAAAATGCAAACTGGTATCAAATATTATTGGCTTCAGTTTTTTTCCTCCAAGTAATTCATGGTGATGGGGTTTGAAGAATGAATTTTATCACATCAAAGGAATGAGAATCACACTAATATCAAACATCTATTGAATATAAGTTTACCATCCCTAACCAAAATAGAATTTGAGAGGAGGAAGGGACTTAAATGATTACCTAAATATTTGGGAGATATTATTTACAAATTAGCCAGCAGGAAATAGGTAATGCCTTAAATGCAAATCTCAGTCTTTTGTGCGAGTCTGGGTAAGTTTATTACCTCTTTATACTTCAGTTTCTCCATCTATAAAATAGAGGTACTATTACTTACCTCAGAGGATTAAATGGGTTAATATAAATAAAGCACTTAGAGTTGTGCTTGCTACAAAATAAAGAATATGTAAGTATTTTCTGCTATCACCATCATCACCATCATCACCATCATCATCATCATCATCACCATCATCACCATCATCATCATCATCACCATCATCACCATCATCATCACCATCATCACTATCATCACCATCATCATCACCATCACCATCATCATCATCACCATCATCATCACCATCACCATCACCATGATCATCACCATCATCATCACCATCACCATCATCATCACCATCATCACCATCATCATCACCATCATCACCATCACCATCATCACCATCATCACCATCACCACCATCACCACCATCACCACCATCACCACCATCACCATCACCATCACCATCACCATCACCATCACCATCACCATCATCAATAGGACCAATACTCCTGTTTTACGATGGCTTAGAATGATTCTAGTTCCTGCTCATCCCACACCTAATGAACAGCAAGGAACAAACTGGGACTCATCTCTCCAGCCTCCCAGGACATCAAAAGTACTTTTCTCTAGGTTGGCTTTTATGCAAATACCCAAAATTAGCCAAATAGAAATGACCCAGCCCTGAGGACACTACCTTCTCAGTCCCCAGCTCTTTCACCGCTTTGTCCACAATCCTTCGGACATCATCTTCCACACTGTGTAGCTGCAGTGCTAACAAATCCGCCAAAGTCGTGGCTTCATTTATTAAAAACTTGACCTGATTGGGGGGAAAAAAAGGTGGACTTTCTTTTCCACATATATTCATGGTTCCTTTTGCCTATTGGCTGGTGAAATGAATCTTAAATATACTCAAGTCAGGTGCTGAGTACATCTCTAGTCTTGAAAGGTATGGACAATCTAAGACATTCCTTTTTAACTCAAAATTCCTGAGGAGTCACCTGCCGGAAGTGAGGGCCACAGTTTAGTCACATTTGTCCTACACTACTTGTTTCACATCTTTCCCTTGTCAGCACGTCTTTATCTCCTTTGCCCACAAAACCCATTTTTTAAAATTTATTTATTTATTTTTTTACTTTCCAACTCATATGTCAGCTCAGCTAAAAACCCATTTTTAAAGATAATCTAATTGTTCATTTATTTTAATTTTGTTGAAATCCCAGGAATCAAGTAGCAGCTTATTTGTCTTTTCTTCCTAAAGAACCCTACTCACTGAACTTAACTCCCAGCTGCTTCCATGATTTAACCTAGTTTTATCACTAATTTAATCTCAGTTCCTTGGCAAAAAGTACTCTTATTCATCATGTCATTATTCATATTTACCATGTGAAAAAAAATTCTCATTTATTTCCACACTGTCTTGTGACAATCACTCCCCTTCTCTCCTCAACATTTGATTAAGACATCCTCAGCTCTTAGACACACCCAGACTCACTCATGTCTCCTGTAAGTGAAGAGTAGAGCCAGCCACATGATTGCAGGAAAGCCATTTTCTTGCCTGCGTTTACTAGCAATATCCAGAATCTGCTTCTTGCAAGTGGCTACCTTCTGCCCCTCCGTACCCTCTAACATTCCTTAGCACCATCCACAGCTCTGCAAAAAAGGACCAAATGCCCTAGTTTGCTAAGGACTGCGGGGTTTCTAGGAAGTGAATTTCAGGGATGTGAGACTTTCAGTGCTAAAAGCTGAACTGAAAAGTCTTCAGCAAATGAGATGAGTTTGCTAGTCTATCTCTGCATCAATTTTGGCCTCACTCCAAAGCTGATGGGAGCCTGGGAGCCGGGAGCCAGGTCTGTACTTGACAAAGCATGAGCAGAGATGTGTAACAGGTGCCCCCTGATTAGCTGTGCAACTCATGTACCAAATACCAGCCCAGATGACAAGTGGAGAAGGAAGCTAGCCTCTGCACCGCTGTCCTGGGGACAGCCTGGAGGAGGGTGCCTTTTTCTAAATTGTCTGCCAGAGCAGATGACTTTTTCTAGCTGGTAAAAAGGCAAAACACAGGCAACTAGAGGCTATGTGAGGCCAAATTTTACTGGCAGAAATATGAGAAAGGGATGGGGAGCAGGGCACATAGTCTACTACACACTCAAAGATTCAATAAAAACTTTCTGAATGTGCAAATTAATCAATTACGAAGTCTAATTAGCCAATGTCTAAAAGACCACGAAAAATACAATAGTACCAATAGCTTCAGAGACCCATTTACTAAGCACTTACTACACATTAGGTCCTTTATATGTAAAATCATGCATCGCTTAACAATGGGGATATGTTCTAAGGAACATATTGTTAGGTGATTTTTGTCACTGTGTGAACACTATGCAGTGAACTTGCACAAACCTAGACAGCATAGCCTGCTATGCACCTAGGATACATGGAGTGTAGTAGGCTATCCAGGCCTATGATCCTAGGTTACATACCTATACAGCACATTACTGTACTGAACATTGCAGGCAATTGTAACACAGTGGTAAGTATTTGTGTATCTAAATGTACTTAAACATATAAAAGCTACAGTAAAAATACAGTATCTTTTTATGGGACTACTCTTGTATATGTGGTCCAGTACTAACTGAAAGGTCATGTAGTGCATGAGTATGTGTGTATATATATATGTGTGTTTTAAATATATGTGTATATATGCGTGCATATCTATATATTTTTATATATTATCTATACATATGTGTGTCTGTGTGTGTGTGTGTGTATAAAATTTCCAATTTGTTCACCCAGTCTGCATGGGAAGTATTATATTTATTTTATAAAAGAATCAACTGGGATAAAAGGAACAGGTAACTTGCCCCAGATCCCAGAGTTGCTAAGTGTTAGGGTTAGAACCACAAAGCCCAGCCTGTCCCCACATCTCCACAATGCCCTTGCCCCTGCTTTCCTCCTTTGCAACTCCCCTTCACATCCTGAGAGCCTTTCTTCAGTGTCCCCCTCAAACTCTTGATTTGCTTAACGAAAATACACACACTAGACTTCCTTTTATGTATTTTAAACTCATAAAGGTTGCCTTCCCCCAAAATTAAAGTGTATGGTTGTTACATTTGCTTTTCAGTAGATACAGAAAAGGAAGAAACTAGAAGCTCAAGTGACATGGATACATGAGAAGCCACTATATCCTGCAATAAAATCAAAATCATCAAAAGACCATGAAAAATGCACCATTATTAAATGAATTATGGATGAAAAAGAAATCACAATTTCAGATTCCTTTTCCCCATAAATTCACTTTTATACCTTCTGACCCTTCCCATAATAAGATTCTTTGCAGCCATCTGGTGTTCATTAAAATGTTTTCATATTATCTCACTCCTTGCAAGATTCCTCTAATGTATAAGAGCAGATAGCATCCCTTCTCATTTTATTACTAAAAAGCAAAACTCAAATGCAAGAGATTAAGTGACTTGCTTACGGTCACATAGCCAGCAAGAGAAAAAAGTGGGGAGCAAGAACTAGGACCTTGACCATTCAGTCCACTGGTCCCCTCTCAAAAGATCAAATTGATCTCTTGCATTTGACTAGAGACCTTTTCATCAATCACAGTTCATCCCAAATTATGCAAACCAAGAAATAATACTTTACAGTCACAAAAATATTCAATTAGTGAGACTGAGGATACTGACCCCAGTAGCCTTCATCAGCTGGTGCCAATGCCTGTCCCTGAGGGCAGGGCTCTGTAACTCTGTGACGGCCCTCAGGGAAGCTGTCATGTCCTTAACTGTGCCTTCCAGGCCTATGTAAGCATCCCAGACGCGGACTTCCTTGTCAAGTGACCAAATTTCCTAAAGAAAAGTGGAGGGAAAAAACCTAGCTCCCATGATATAACAACACAGTACGTATTAATAATTTGCCTCCTTTGAAGAATAAATATACATTTCCCAACTCCTGGCTTAGAGAAGAGTGAACGCTTTTGAATTCCTAGGCCAAGGACAAAAACCAGAGAAAAGGAAAGGAAATGTACACTCATTTGTACATTACAAGCCAACTTCATGCAAGCCACTTGGGTACATTGGTTTCTCATTCACAATATCTCACTAAATGTCCTGAGGAAACATAGGTAAGTAACAGAGTTCACCGGACATGTCCAATAAATAATGTTTCCTCTATAAATGTAAATAAATGTAAATAGACTGTTACCGGATTACTAAGACCTCATTTGGAATATCTGACTCATTTAAATGGTAGCCTTGGAGTGTTGATTAACATTGAGTGTCTGTTCCTTGAAACTTAAATATTTCATCATCTTAAAATGCTGAATAGGGCTCTTGACTTGGCTGGTCCTCCTAGCCCTTAAAACAACATCAGCAATTGTGAATGAGAAAACCCATAAGAAAACAACTAGAACTTAGCACGAAATAAAGGACAATGTCAACTGCTTTAAAAAATATGTATCTTCAGCTGAGAGTGGGGGTTAAGTTGTCACTCTGAAGTGAAGTAAGTGAATGTAGAGGAGAGAAGCAGAAAGAGAATATAGAACATAAAATGAGGTACAGTGACTCCATGACATCCAAAAGAATGAAAGAACATTTTAGTTGGGTCTTTGGGATTGGCATAATATAGGAGACAATACAGGTGAGAGTGGGAAGGACCTGAGGCAAGGAAGCAAATGGCCCTGTCACTTTTTTTTTTTTTGAGACGAAATCTCACTCTTGTCCCCCAGGCTGGAGTGCAATGGCACGATCTCGGCTTATTGCCTCTCCCCCTGAGGCAGGAGAATTGCTTGACCTCCACCTCCCAGGTTTAAGCAATTCTCCTGCCTCAGCCTCCAGAGTAGCTGGGATTACAGGCACCTGCCATCACACCCAGCTAGTTTTTATCTTTTTAGTGGAGACAGGGTTTCACCATGTTGGCCAGGCTGGTCTGGAACTCCTGACCTCAGGTGATCTGCCTGCTTCAGCCTCCCAATGTGCTGGAATTACAGGTGTGAGCCACCGTGGTTGGCTGGCCCAGTCACTTTCAACTGCCTTTCACTGATATGTATTTTGGCTTTATCCAAAGACGCTCTGTCTTCAGAGGGCATATGGCTATGCAAAATAGACATCGAAATTCCAATAGGTAACAAATTCCAGTAAGCTCAGTTCTGTGTATGTTGAGCCCTCTTGGGATTCCAGAGTCATTAATAAGAACAAGGATCATAGTATTCTGTACAGATACAGAGGTGGTATCCTCATGTTAGTTGCCCCAAATTCCAGAACCAAAAGTTACCTTTTCAGATACAGAATCTTCATGGTTGCTAAGGAAAGAAATCAAAAGCTTTTGGAAGTTTGACCCCTCAGCCCTGATAATGTTCCTCTCTGCTCTGGGAAGCTGTAGGAAGCTCATGATTAAAGCTGCTTCTCATAAATTCATTAACTCTAATATGCTTCTATCAGCTCACTCACAGGCTTGATTAGAAGTGCAACTGGCTAAGTGTGAAGAAAACACTGTCTGATATGACTCTGCTAGAAGTAAATGAGTACACGCAGCCCAGTACACCAGATACTAGGTTAGCAAAGGGGGAAGGAGGTGGTACCGAGGAGGATAAATTGTTAAAATAGACAGTTACGGAACTCGCCTTGGCAAACCTTCTGAGTTCTACATCCATCTGTTCCACATTAATCTGTCTCCACTGGGTTTTAGTCCAATTATCAATGCTTCTCTGAAAACGCACAAGCAGATAAAAGTGTCAACAACATTTGGTGAAAGCAAGTCTCTGCAGCAAAATACATAAACTGATGATACACAGTAACTCTATCATCCAGTGGAAAGTCAATTTTTTAAATATTAACTGCATTTGTCAGAACTTCCCTATCACCAACACAAAAAAGTTGTCAGAACGTGTCAAGCTAAAGGCAAAAACATCATATTAATTTCTAGTAGCGATGATAAATTCCACTCACATACCATCATTATCACTTAATCCTCTGTACTTTGAATAAATTGATAATTATTAAATAACAGATTTTTATAATTCTACACGTAACAAAATAAGCTTTCATATGACAATTTTCATCCATTATAAACAAAACTCTCATTAACCATTTCTTGACCATATTTTTTATCTTGTTAATATATTTCTATATGGCTTTCAACTTAAAAGATTATAAAGCTTCTTGCAATATGTCTCATTACCTAGAACTTATTTTTTCACTAAAGTTTTTAACTTAACCACATACAAGTTATTTTTTGTAAGGGTCTGTTTGTATATGTCCAAATATGTAAGTATAAGAATAGGTATATATATGACTTGGTATGCAGAAATGACAACATATGTAATATATTTATATATTAATTATTTTTGAGACAAAGTCTTGCTCTGTTGCCAGGCAGGAGTGTAGTGGTGCAATCTTGGCTCATTACAACCTCTACCTCCCAAGTTCAAGTAAATCTCCTACCTCAGCCTCCAGAGTAGCTGAGACTACAGGCACTTACAACCATGCCCTGCTAATTTTTGTATTTTTAGGACAGACGGGGTTTCACCATGTTATCTAGTGTGGTCTTGATATCCTGACCTCATGATCCGCTCGCCTTGGTCACCCAAAGTGCCAGCATTACAGGTGTGAACCACCACACCTACCTTATTATTAATTTTTATTTATATTGTATACAATCTCCCCAAAGGATTTGAGGCAGTCAGCTTATTACACAAAGCTTCACCTGAACTAAAAATAAAAACAAGTGGTATGCAAAGAAGAATCATCCACTAACAGAGATATATAAACTCTAATTTGGGGCTGGGGCAGGGATCTAACTTCCACATGTTTCAAGCATTATAAAACCCAAAGAGAATACTATGGACCCTAAAAACTGCATATATGAAAGAACTCCTAAATAAAAAGCATGTTTTGAAAAAGCACATCTTACTTGAACATAAATAATGACATCCCACAGTCCCTTGAGCAATTTTATTTCTTTGCGACACTGCTTCATTTGTTTGTATTCTGGAAGAGCCACTTCAAAAAGACGAGTAGATTCTTGCATCTGCAACATTTCTTCTTCTAATGCCTCAAGCTCTTGATTTGCCTAAGGAGAGAACATACACACCTGCATACAAACTGCCAGAGAAAGTGAAGACATGCAGTTCTGCAGCTCTGGTTATCTTGACATTTCAATCTTTGATTTTTAAAGGGAAAATACAAAGAATCCTGCAGTATAATTATTGGTAAAATGTCAAAAGCTTTAGAAGAGCTAGCTTAGCTACTCAAAAAGTATGAATAGACTACTACAAAACACAGTAACTTTAACAATATTCTCCCTATGCACTTATTTTAGCTAAATTTCTTCCGCATCAGATTTCTCTGAATACAATTTTTCCTCTTGGTTTTTGTACCAAGAGCAGGGGAATTTGCTGAACAACAAAAGGTGGAGCTCTAGAAACTTCCACTTAAGAATGAGTTGTCTTTTTAGTAATGACTTGGTTTATTAAAAAAATACTTTTGGATTTAAAAAATACCCTATAGATTATCAACAATACCAAATGCACTCAAGGTCATTTGCGAAATAAAGCACAAAGCTAAAAATACAGCTCAGTGTGAAAACATCACCATATCACTATCTTCACCAAGGTTCACTTATATACCCCATCTACATAGAAGAGTTTACATTTTACACAAAATATAAATGCTGACATGTTCTTTCATGATAAACTTTTTTTTTTTTTTGAGACTGAGTCTTGCTCTGTCGCCCAGGCTGAAGTGCAGTGGCACGATCTCAGTTCACTGCAGCCTCTGCCTCCTGGGTTCAAGCGATTCTCCTGCCTCAGCTTCCTGAGCAGCTGGGATTACAGGTGTGTGCCACCACATCTGGCTAATTTTTGTTTCTTTAGTAGAGACAGGCTTACCACGTATGTCAGGCTGGTCGTGAACTCCTCATCTTGTGATCCACCTGCCTCATTCTCCCAAAGTGCTGGGATTATAGGCATGAGTCACTGAGTCTGTTTTTTTCTTTAATTAACAAAAAGGTACTATGTTTACATGGCAAAAGTTCAAGGTGTACATAAGTGTTTGCAAGGCAGGAAAGCAATCCCGCAGGTCTACTCTCATTCTTTCGGATGCTGTTTCTGTAATTCCCAATTCCGTGCTCAAGCTGCTCTTTCTTGATCAAGTTTAGACAATATACTAGGTTACAACTCGATTTGCAAAAGAAGGATTTGACTTGTTTTTCTACTCTCTATTTTCTCCCATCCTCCTCCCAAGATCCAACAATTATACTGCTTTAGTTTCTCTGAGGTTTAAATACCTATACTTAATGCTTTTGTGTTCCATCAACCTTCAACTCTTTTTTTTTTCTTTCCTTTCTTTTTTTTTTTTTTGAGACAGAGTCTTACCCTGTCGCCAGGATCCAGGTTGGAGTGCAGTGGTGTGATCTAGGCTCACTGCGACCTCCACCTCCTGGCTTCAAACAATTCTCCTGCCTCAGCCTCCAGAGTAGCTGGGACTACAGGTGTGCACCACCATGCCCAGCTAATTTTGTATTTTAGTAGAGACAGGGTTTCACCATGTTGGCCAGGATGGTCTTGATCTCTTGACCTCATGATCCACCCACCTCGGGCTCCCAAAGTGCTGGGATTACAGGTGCGAGCCACTGCGCCCAGCCATGAATTCTTTTTCAATAGACAAATAAAAATTCTATATATTTATCATGTACAACATGATGCTTTGAAATATCCATTCCCCTTGGAAACTGGCACAAGACAAGGAGGCCCTCTCTCACTGCTCCTATCCAACATAGTATTGGAAGTTCTGGCTAGGTCCATCAGCCAAGAGAAAGAAATAAAGAGTATTTGAATGGGAAGAGAGGACAACATCAAATCGTCCCTGTTTGCAGATGACATGATGGTATATTTAGAAAACCCCAGCGTCTCAGCCCAAAATCTCCTTAAGCTGATAAGCAACTTCAGCAAGTCTCAGGATACAAAATCAATGTACAGAAATCACAAGCATTCCTACACACTGATAACAGACAGAGAGCCAAGGCATGAGTGAACTCTCATTCACAATTGCTACAAGAAGAAGAAAATACCTAGGAATACAACTAACAAGGGATGCGAAGGACCTCTTCAAGGAGAACTACAAACCATGGCTCAAGGAAATGAAAGAGGACACAAACAGATGGAAAAACATTTCACGCTCATGGTTGGGAAGAATCAATATCGTGAAAATGGCCATACTGCCCAAAGTAATTTATAGATTCAATGCTATCCCTATCAAGCTACCATTGACTTTCTTCACAGAATTGGAAAAAAACACCTTAAACTTCAAATGGAACCAAAAAAGAGCCCGCATAGCCAAGACAATCCTAAGCAAAAAAATACAGCTGGAGGCATCATGCTACCTGACTTCAAACTACATTATAAGGTTATTGTAATCAAAACAGCTTGGTACTGGCACCAAAACAGAGATATAGACCACTGGAACAGAAAAGAAACCTTCCAAAGAATGTCACACAACTACAACCATCTGATCTTTGACAAACCTGACAAAAACAAGCAATGGGGAAATGATTTCCTGTTTAATAAATGGTGTTGGGAAAACTGGCTAGTCATGTGCAGAAAGCTGAAATGAGATCCCTTCCTTACACCTTATACAAAAACTAACTCTAGATGAATTAAAGCTTTGAACATGATGCCTAACACCATAAAAACTCTAGAAGAAAACCTAGGTAATATCATTCAAGAGATAGGCATAGGCAAAGACTTCATGACTAAAACACCAAAAGAAACGGCAACAAAAGCCAAAATAGACAAATGCGATCTAATTAAACTTAAGAACTTCTGCACAGCAAAAGAAACTATCAATGGAGTGAACCATTGATAATGGAAAAAATGTCTGCAATCTACCCATCTGACAAAGGGCTAATATCCAGAATCTACAGAGAACTTAAACAAATTTACAAGAAAAAAACAAACAATCCCATCAAAAAGTGGGCTAAGGATATGAACAGACACTTTTCAAAAGAAGACATTTATGCAGCCAACAAACATGAAAAAAAGCTCATCATCACTGCTCATTAGAGAAATGCAAATCCACCTAATGCCAGTTAGAATGGCGATCATTAAAAAAAATCAGGAGACAACAGATGCTGGAGAGGATGTGGAGAAATAGGAACATTTTTACAATGTTGGTGGTAGTGTAAATTAATTTAACCATTGTGGAAGACAGTGTGGCAATTCCTCAAGGATCTAGAAATAGAAATTCCATTTGACCCAGCAACCCCATTACTGGATATATACCCAAAGGATTGTAAATTATTCTGTTATAAAGACACTTGCACACCTATGTTTATTGTGGCACTGTTCACAATAGCAAAGACTTGAAACCAACCCAAATGCTCATCAATGATAGACCATAAAAAAGTATGAGTTCATGTCTTTGCAGGGACATGGATGAAACTGGAAACCATCATTCTCAGCAAACTGACACAAGAATGGAAAACCAACCACCACATGTTCTGACTCATAAGTCAGTATTGAACAATGAGAACACACAGACACATGGAGGGGAACATCACACACTGGGCCTTGGGGGGTGGGGCTAGGGGAGCAATAGCAGGGGGTGGGGGATTGGGGAGGGATAGCATTAGGAGAAATAGCTAATATAGATGACAGGGCGATGGATGCAAGAAACCACCAGCATGGCACATGTATACCTATGTAACAAACCTGCATGATCTGCACATGTACCCCAGAACTTAAAGTATAATAAATGAATTTTTTAAAAAATAAAGAAAAGAAAAATCTATACATTGTGAGGTTGGGTGCACGCCTATAATCCCAACACTTTAAGAAGTCACAGTGGGTGGATCACTTGAGCCCAGGAATTCGAGACCAACCTGGGCAATGTGGCAAAACCCCATCACTATTAAAAGTACAAAAAAAAAAAAAATAGCTGGGCATGGTAGCACGTGCCTATAGTCCCAGCTACTCGGGAGGCTGAGGTAGGAAAATGGCCTGAGCCCAGGGAAGGCTGAGGCTGCAGTGAGCTGAAATCACGCCAATGCACTACAGCCTTGTCAAAAATAAAAAACAAAACAAAAAAATCTATGCATTGGGAAATGGCTCTATAACGCTAATTAATATGTGTATTACCTCACATACCTCATCATCTCACATTTTTATGAGAACATTTAAAATCTCAGCAATTTTCAAAATACAATATATTGCTATTAACCAGTCACCATGTTGTACAAGAAGCCTTGTGAACTTTTTCCTAAAATTTTCTATCCTTGCCTAATACCTCCCAACCCCAACTCTGTCTCTTCATTCCTACTATGTAAAGAATATTAGCCCCCTGCTTTCATGTTTACAAGTTATATTTTCACAAACAAGAACTGCAAGTCTTTTAGTTTTAAAATGTTGTATTATGAAACATTCTATACATATAACAGGATCTATGCATTTGTTCCCCATCTAGCCTAAGAAATATGTAACTTTTAATCTAGTAACTTTTAATGTCTTTTTCAATTTTATCTCTATTTTTCCTACTACAAATTTAACCACAAAACCTAAACTTTCGATAGTCTAATGTTTATATTTTCATATTAATGTACTGCTAAGTGCTAAATGTTAAAGTTTGTTTTTGAAATGTATGTACCTGTATACATTTCGACTGATATTTATGTTCACTATATATTCACAATGATGTGTGTGAAGTGTGTTCATTCGTCTACTTCACAGTACATTATATGAATATACCACAATTTGTTTCTTTATGTCTCATAGTCATTTTGGTTTTTCCTACGTTTCACCATTATTATTAATGCTACCAGAAATTTCCATATTCCCTATTGTATAGTATTTTATGTAGAGTTTTAATTATTCTTTTATTAGGTTTAAAATATCTTCTAGATGTTTCTATCATGAATGAATGTTGAATGATATCTAAAGTTTTTGAATTTCTTAAGATAATATGATTTTTTCTTCCTAATCTGTTAATGCAGTAAATTATATTGATTTGCTAAAGGTAAGGGAAGCTTAGTTTCCTGAAATGAATCCAACTTGTTAATAAATTGGTATAATTTGACTG